TACCTCAGGGGACGCTTCGCTGTCGTTCACACTGGACTCTGGAGCCTCCCACTGCTTCTTCCGAGACAGCACGACACTTACACCACTTCCTGCGCCTGTTTCTGTAGCGTTGGCTGATCCCACTACGGGACCAGTCACTGCCCGTCACACTACCACTTTACCGTGTCCTGCTGCTCCCTCCGGGTCTCTCACTGGGTTTCACGTCCCCTCGTTCTCCCGGAACTTGGTGGGCGTGCGACCCCTCGTGAGTCAGCACGTGGGTGTGTGGTTTGAGCCTTCTGGAGAGACTGCGGTGTGTGTTGACGGAGACTCTTACCAGCCTCTTGCTACCTTTACTGCTGAGCCGGGCTCGGGTCTCTACACTCTTCACACTGGCCCGCGTGCGCCGCAGCAGCAGCCGCAGCAGCAGCAGCACCCGCAGCCGCAGCAGCAGCAGCAGCAGCAGCAGCACCAGCGGCCGCACCAGCAGCCCCCCCTACTGCCACTGCCCCCGGTTCCCCCCCCCGTTCGGGTCCCCGTGTCTCACCAGGTTGCTTCGTCCCCCCAGGTGTCTGTGTCGTGTCAGGTTCCTACGTCTGTTCCAGTCGTTGCGTCGTGCTCCTGCCGGTCGCTTGCCCACCCCACCGTTCTGTGGCACCACCGGATGGGGCACCCGTCCCTTCCTCGTCTGCGCGCTATGTCTAGTCAACGTCTTGTCCTAGGCCTCCCACGTATCTTGCCGTCGCTGCCGCCTTCGCTTGCGCCGCCGTGTCGTCCCTGCGTCGAGGGTAGGCTGCGCGCCACCCCTCACTCCTCCTCCCTTCGTCCGGCCACCGAGCCTTTTGAGACGCTTCACTTGGACGTCTGGGGCCCCGCCCCTCGTCTAGGCCCTGAGCGTGAGCGTTACTTTCTGGTGGTCGTTGACGACTTCTCCCGCTACACCACAGTGTTCCCACTGGCGAAGAAGTCTGAGGTGACTTCTACGCTGATCAGGTGGTTGCTCACCACCGAGGACACTCGTGGTCGTCGTGTCAGCTGTCTCCACTCCGACCGTGGGGGTGAGTTTCGCTCCGGCATTCTCGCTGGATTCTGTCGCGAGCAGGGCATTCGTCAGTCCTGGACGCTTCCAGAGTCCCCACAGCAGAATGGGGTTGCTGAGCGCCGCATAGGCCTGGTCATGGAGATCGCCCGCACCTCCCTGACTCACGCCTGTGCCCCCCATTTTCTGTGGCCCTACGCGGTCAGGTACGCTGCGCACCAGCTGAACCTCTGGCCACGTGTCTCTCGACCAGAGGTTTCACCGACCAGTCTTTGGACAGGGTCCCCGGTTGTTGCGTCGCGGTTTCGTGTCTGGGGGTGCTTGGCTCTTGTCCGCGACACCTCCGCGGACAAGCTCTCGCCTCGTGCCGTCCCATGTGTCTTCCTTGGTTTCCCTGAGGACTCCTCTGACTTCACCTTTTACCACCCTCCCTCTCACCGGTTCTTTGACTCCCGTGACGTCCGTTTCGAGGAGTCCACTCCGTACTACGTCAGGTACCCCAGTCGAGGTCTCCCGGTTCCTCCTCCCCCCCTCTTCCTGACTGCCGCTCCCCCTCCTGCTCCCCCGGTACAGCCTCCCCCCCCTGGCCCAGCCCCGTCAGGTGTGTCCCAGGCTACCCCTCCTCCTTCGGTAGCCCCTCCGGTACAGCCTCCCTCCCCACAGTCCTCCTCGCAGCGTGCCGCTGGTGCTAGCTCTCGAGAGGTTGGTGCTGCGCCTGTTCCTGTACCGGTTTCTGGTTCTGGGGGTGCTGGAGTTGCAGCTGGTGTTGGAGCTGGAGGTGGAGCTGGAGTAGGCACTGGAGTTTCTGGTTCTGGGGGTGCTGGAGTTGGAGCTGGAGTTTCTGGTTCTGGAGTTGGAGCTGACCCGGTGTGTGAAGAGGACTCTTGTCGTCCGGGAGCCGGTGCTGGCCGCGCGGACTCTGGGGGTGCTCCCTATGGGGGTGAGGGTGCGCCTGCTTCGGGTTCTGGTGCGCCTGGGTCTGGAGCTGGTGTTAGTGCTGCCTCTGGGGGTGGTGCGCCTGGTTCTTCGGGGGTTGACTCTGGAGCTGCCGCTGCTTCGGACACTACTCCGCCCCCCCACCCCTACCCGACTAGGCACCGGGCTCGTGTTCGCCGTGCGCGTGACGAGCAGCTGGAGTTGGAGAGAGAGGAGAGGGAGTTACAGCGGCTGGCGGAGCAGCAGCAGCAGCTGGACCCGCAGGAGTAGCAGTCCCAGCAGCAGCCGCGTCCGCAGCAGCAGCAGTCGCAGCAGCAGCAGCAGCCACTTCCTCCTCCTGTCTCGGGTCTTCGGGCCCTTGGTCTCCCCTCCCCTTCTCCTCCCTCCTCCGCCTCTCCTCCTGTCTACGGTCCCACGTTTCCTCCGCCTGACTCCTCCCCCGCTGTTTTCTCTAGTTCTCCGCCTTTGTCCTCTCCTCCTCCGTCTCGTTCTTGGGCTACTCGTCGCTCCCCTCGTGCTCGTCCCTCGTCTCCTGTTCCCTTCACTGACCTTCGTACTGCCTTACTTTGTTCCAGTCCACCTCGTCTGTCTCAGTCTGTGCTTCCGTCTCCTCCTGAGTCGGCCCTCACCGTGTCGCTCCCTGCTCTTGTCACTGACTACTACCGCACGTACCGTCCTGTTCTCTCTCGTGTTCTCGCCTCTCTTGTTACTCACCCTCGTGCCTCTGTGTCCTCTGTGTCTGCTCTTACTGCCGCGGTTACTGACTTTGCCGCTACCCGCCGCCTTGACTACGCCACCGCGCTTGTGGCTGCTCCTCCTACCAGTCCTCTGGCCGTCGGGGGTGTGTCTGCCCTTGGCTGTGACGCCCTAGAGGACAGGCAGTTTGAGCTAGAATTCCTGGCGGCCGCTTCCCCTCATCTCTGTGCCATGCTCCTCGCCCCTGAGGGTGACCTCGACGCCCTTGACATTCCGACTCCTCGCACTTACGCTGAGGCAGTGTCAGGGCCTTGGGCCTCTCAGTGGAGAGCTGCCATGGACGTAGAGATGGCCTCCTACAGATCCACACGCACCTACGTCGATGAGGTTCCCCCCCCTGGGGCGAACGTAGTCGACGGCATGTGGATCTACAGGGTGAAGCGGCCACCGGGATCTCCCCCGGTCTTCAAGGCGCGCTACGTGGCTAGAGGTTTCAGTCAGCGCGAGGGAGTTGACTTCTTTCAGACCTTCGCACCTACCCCGAAGATGACCACTCTTCGGGTGTTACTACACGTAGCAGCACAGAGAGACTACGAGTTACACTCTCTCGACTTCTCCACTGCTTTCCTTCAGGGCAGCCTACACGAGGAGGTCTGGTTGTGTCGTCCCTCGGCCTTCACTGGCACTTTCCCTCCTGGGACCCAGTGGAGGCTGAGGCGACCTGTTTACGGTCTTCGCCAGGCCCCTCGCGAGTGGCACGACACTCTGCGTTCTACCCTCTCTGACCTTGGGTTCCAGCCGTCTTCTGCCGACCCGTCGCTGTTCGTTCGTCGTGGCTCCACACCGTTCTTTGTTCTGATCTACGTCGACGACCTCATTTTCGCCACTCCGGACAGGGTTGCTTTGGCAGACGTGAAGTCCGAACTGCAGAAGAGACACACGTGCACTGATCTTGGTGAGCTGCGCCACTACCTTGGCCTGCAGATCACCAGGGACAGAGCCGCTCGCACCATTACACTCTCACAGTCACACATGGTGCAGCAGGTCCTTCAGCGGTTCGGGCTTCAGCACTCCACCGTACAGCGCACACCTCTAGCTGTTGACCACAGACTCACTGGTCCCTTTCCTGACGAGCCGTTTGAGCCTAGTGGTCCCTACGCAGAGCTTGTGGGTTGCCTCATGTACCTGATGACTTGTACTCGCCCGGACCTCGCCTTCCCTCTCAGCATCCTTGCGCGCTTTGTTGCGCCAGGGAGACACCGTCCTGTTCACTGGACGGCAGCTGTGAGGGTGGCGAAGTACCTAGCGACTACATCAGGCGTGGGGCTAGTTCTTGGAGGGCAGCAGTCTGTCGTACTCACTGGTCACTGTGACTCCTCTTACGCTGACGACGCTGAGACTCACAGGTCTACTCAGGGGTACTGTTTCAGTCTGGGTTCTGGAGCTGTTTCCTGGCGTTCCACGCGCTCCTCTTCTGTCTCGACCTCTACAGCTGAGGCTGAGATTTACGCTGGTGCCATGGCGGCACAGGAGTTGCGGTGGTTGACCTTCTTGCTCGCCGACCTTGGTGAGCGGCCGAGCTCTGCACCGACCTTGTTTACTGACAACAAGGCGTCGATCCTCCTCTGTCGTGAGCCGCGACTGGAGAGCAGAGTGAAGCACATTCACGTCAGGTACTTTCTTCTGCGAGAGTTGCAGAGACGTGGACAGGCTCGCTTCGAGTTCGTGGAGTCCGAGGCCAACACTGCAGACATCTTCACCAAGGCGCTTCCGCCTTGTGACCACCAGAGGTGTTGTGTGCAGTTAGGCCTTGTTGACACAGGTTCTAGTCATGTGTAGACTTGAGTTTATTGCCTGCTTCGTCTGTACACTTGCTATATATACTTGTGATCTCTTGGACTGGCCTTGTGGCCACTGTTGCTTGTGCTCAGAGTGTGTGGTGACGTTGTGATCCACCCTGAGCTTTGTTTTCTTTTGGACTGGTCTTGTGACCGTACTCTTTTTGATTTTGCTAGACACCCCTCACTTAGGCTATGGGGGTGTGTCAAATGTTGTAGCCTGTAGTGAGGTTTGTCTTAGGGGGTACAGAAGTTAGGGTTTGTCATATGTACCCCAACCAACATCAATGGAAACACCATTCCTCATTCTGACACGCCAGCATACTTTGTGGCAGAGACAACCCGTGAGCTCGTCTCTTCTCCTGATAACTCACACCTCACCCCAGCCATGTGACTGTGCTCCGACCCCCACCACACCCCACCGCTCTCCTGACAGTAATCCCCACGCCCTCATAATGCTGCTCCTGACGCTCGAATGCAACTATTGAGGCGCTTCAAAAGTTCACTCCTCCTCACCCCAGCCAAGTCACTGTGCTCCTACCGCCACCGCCCCCAACTCCCTTCCTGATACTAATCGCCTCGCCCTCATAATGCCGCTGCAGCCGCTCGAAAGCAGTCACATCCAGCCGGCCAGTGCCGCCCCTGCCCGCCCCGTGCTTGCGCTCGTGCTGCTGCTGCCTCACACTCGTCCACAGCGCCTCGATTGCCGCCCGCTGCCGCCCGGTGAATCGCCGCCGGTGGTCGTATGCGTGCTGCGCCAGCATGTCAATGGCTGTCTGCGCCCTGGAGGGTGGGGACAAAGGTGGCACAGGCAGAAAGTGAAAGCATGATAAATGATTAGCAGTGAAGGGGTGCTTGTATGCTTTTTGAGAAATCTCAGAAAAAATACGCTGAATAGCAGTGAAGGGGTGCTTGTGGTCCCTTCAACACACCGCCTGTGGTTGTAGGCATGCTGCGATACCATGTATATGGCCGTCTGGACCCTGGGGAAGGGGGTGGGGGAGGAGGGAAGCGGGGAATGAAACAGAAGGGAAGCACAGGAAGCAAGGAGCATGAAGGCCGGAAGGCAGTGCGTGGTCAGCTCACTTGCTGAGCCAGCATCTCTATGCCTGTCTGGGCGCTGGGGTGTGATGTGGGGAACAGATCGTACTGTTCATTTTTTGCTATATGTTTCTTCTAGACTGCTGCTCACCTAATCACATGGCTGAGCCAGCAGCAGCAGCAGCACATGGCTGAGCCAGCAGCAGCAGCACATGGCTGCTGCTTCACATGGCGGAAGGCACGCGTGCTGAGCCAGCATGTCTATGGCCGTCTGGGCGCTGGGGTGTGATGTAGGGGAACGAAGCACAGGGATAAACGGATTGTAGCAAATGAGGAGCCTCCGAACTTTCACTGCCTAAAACCTCACTCACCACTTGTGCCGATACATCTCAGTGGCTGTCTGAATGCACAGCAGCAACGCCTCCCTCCTCTCTCTCAACATCCGCCTCTCCTCCTCCTCCTCCCTCCGCCGTGCCTCCTCCTCTTCCCTCCTCCTCCTCTCCCGCTCCTCCCTCCTCTTCTGCTCCCTCATAGCCTGCTTGCTTTTTATCATCTCGCCCAACCCAAACGGATCCTCCTCCTCTTCCTCCTCCTCTTCCTCCTCCTCCTCCTCCTCCTCTCCCACCTGCCCACCATCTGCTGTCCCGCCTACATTCTCCCCACTGAGACCCAACATAGCATCAAGCCCAAAGGGGTCTGCGCCAGAATCTGCAGCATTTGCATCATCGCCTCCTTTTTCCTTCTTGTCTTCCCGTCTCTCTTCCCCACCATCTTCTCCCCCATCCCTCCTCTCTTGAGGCTTTCTTCCCCCGCTTTCCGCAATCTCATCCTCCTTCGCTCCCCCCTTCTCTACCCCTTTCTCTTCCCCCTTCCTTCCCCCCTTCTCTCCCTCTTCATCCCCGTCCACACCCCCATCTCTGCCCTGCACCTGCATCGCCACCCCTGCAAACATCCCCGCCTCGTACCGCTCATCCTCCTCTGCTGCTTCTGGCAATCGCTCCACCTCCTGCTGCACTCGAGACACGGCCTTGGAAAACTGGGAGGGAGAGGGGAGGTTAAGAGGAGGCGGAGGGGGGGGGTGAGGGAGGAAGCGAGAAAGGGGAGCACGGGAGCTTTGAGTGCCTCTGGCAATCGCCCCACCTCCTGCTGCACTCGAGACACGGCCTTAAAGAACTGCTTCGGGGGAAGCGATAGTGAGGACAAAGGGAGGAAGGAAGGTCAAAGGAAGAATAGGAGAAGGGCACACAAGGGCACACATGCAGCAGAAACAGCCAAGACTTCTCTCCCTCTCATCCTCCTCTGCTGCCTCTGGCTGTCTCTCCACCTCCTGTTGCACTCGATTCCCCCACCATCTCTTCCCACCTGCCCCCCCACCCCTCCCCAAATAAAAGCTGTCATCGGTGCGCAGAGAGTGGGTGAGCACAGTGCGCAGCCCCCACACGTCCACCTGCCTTCGTGCTCACTACCCCCCCACCTCCCTCCAACCCAACCAATACCCCTACCACCAAACCCCCCTATTTCCCCCCACTTGAAAGCTGTCATCGGTACGCAGCGAGTGGTTGTGCACAGAGCGCCCTGCCTGCACACGTCCACCTGCCTTCATGCCCACTGCCCCCCCACCTGTTGCCCCTCAGCACCCGCCCACACCCCCCCACCTGGAAGCTGTCATCGGTGCGCAGCGAGTGGTTGAGCGCGGTGCGCAGCCCCCACACCTGCTCGCGTGCCCCAGTCCACTGCCCCAGTCCCTGCCCCAATCCACTGCCCCAGTCCACTGCCCCCACCCTTCACCCAACCCTCCACCTGGAAGCTGTCATCGGTGCGCAGCGAGTGGGTGAGCACAGTGCGCAGCCCCCACACGTCCACCTGCTGCTGCTGCCATGGCAAAAACAACTGTACACGGGTGGGGCAGGGGGGCGTGGGGAAGGGGGAGAGCACGGGAGGGCGGATGGGGGGGAGCGGGGAGGAGGGGGTTGAGGCGAGGAAAGGGTGGGGGGATGGGGGCGATTGAGGGTTGGGGTTTGGCAAAATGAGTCTTGATGTGGTGGGCAATCTCTTGTCTCGGCCCTTTACCCAGGCCACTATGAGCACACAACACAACAACCTTGTCCTTTCGCCACTTTCCCCTGCCCACCGCTTTCCCCTGCCCACCTCTTAGCCCATCCCACGCACCTCTGTTCTCTCCACAGCAGCGCCAAGGATAATGAATCCCAGCGCCCCCCACTGCCCCATATGCCCTTGCCCAGCGCCCCCCACTGCCCCATATGCCCTTGCCCAGCGCCCCCCACTGCCCCATATGCCCTTGCCAAGCGCCCCCCACTGCCCCATATGCCCTTGCCAAGCGCCCCCCACTGCCCCATATGCCCTTGCCCAGCGCCCCCCACTGCCCCATATGCCCTTGCCCAGCGCCCCCCACTGCCCCATATGCCCTTGCCCAGCGCCCCCCACTGCCCCATATGCCCTTGCCCAGCGCCCCCCACTGCCCCATATGCCCTTGCCCAGCGCCCCACACTGCCCCATATGCCCTTGCCCAGCGCCCCCCACTGCCCCATATGCCCTTGCCCAGCGCCCCCCACTGCCCCATATGCCCTTGCCCAGCGCCCCCCACTGCCCCATATGCCCTTGCCCAGCGCCCCCCACTGCCCCATATGCCCTTGCCCAGCGCCCCCCACTGCCCCATATGCCCTTGCCCAGCGCCCCCCACTGCCCCATATGCCCTTGCCCAGCGCCCCCCACTGCCCCATATGCCCTTGCCAAGCGCCCCCCACTGCCCCATATGCCCTTGCCCAGCGCCCCCCACTGCCCCATATGCCCTTGCCCAGCGCCCCCCACTGCCCCATATGCCCTTGCCCAGCGCCCCCCACTGCCCCATATGCCCTTGCCCAGCGCCCCCCACTGCCCCATATGCCCTTGCCCAGCGCCCCCCACTGCCCCATATGCCCTTGCCCAGCGCCCCCCACTGCCCCATATGCCCTTGCCCAGCGCCCCCCACTGCCCCATATGCCCTTGCCCAGCGCCCCCCACTGCCCCATATGCCCTTGCCCAGCGCCCCCCACTGCCCCATATGCCCTTGCCCAGCGCCCCCCACTGCCCCATATGCCCTTGCCAAGCGCCCCCCACTGCCCCATATGCCCTTGCCCAGCGCCCCCCACTGCCCCATATGCCCTTGCCCAGCGCCCCCCACTGCCCCATATGCCCGTGCCCAGCGCCCCCCACTGCCCCATATGCCCTTGCCCAGCGCCCCCCACTGCCCCATATGCCCTTGCCCAGCGCCCCCCACTGCCCCATATGCCCTTGCCCAGCGCCCCCCACTGCCCCATATGCCCTTGCCCAGCGCCCCCCACTGCCCCATATGCCCTTGCCCAGCGCCCCCCACTGCCCCATATGCCCTTGCCCAGCGCCCCCCACTGCCCCATATGCCCTTGCCCAGCGCCCCCCACTGCCCCATATGCCCTTGCCCAGCGCCCCCCACTGCCCCATATGCCCTTGCCAAGCGCCCCCCACTGCCCCATATGCCCTTGCCCAGCGCCCCCCACTGCCCCATATGCCCTTGCCCAGCGCCCCCCACTGCCCCATATGCCCGTGCCCAGCGCCCCCCACTGCCCCATATGCCCTTGCCCAGCGCCCCCCACTGCCCCATATGCCCTTGCCCAGCGCCCCCCACTGCCCCATATGCCCTTGCCCAGCGCCCCCCACTGCCCCATATGCCCTTGCCCAGCGCCCCCCACTGCCCCATATGCCCTTGCCCAGCGCCCCCCACTGCCCCATATGCCCTTGCCCAGCGCCCCCCACTGCCCCATATGCCCTTGCCCAGCGCCCCCCACTGCCCCATATGCCCTTGCCCAGCGCCCCCCACTGCCCCATATGCCCGTGCCCCACTCTTTGCCTTCAATGTCACCACCCCCATCCCCTCCCCCCTTCTTCCCCCCTTGCTCCCGCTTCACGCACCTCTGTTCTCTCCACAGCAGCGCTGATCAGCGCAGCATACTCGCCCCCAACGTCCCCCGCAACCCCCACCACCATGCCTCCCGCCCCCCCTCCGCCTTCCCTCCGCAGCAGCCCCATTGCCGCCTCCAGCACTGCAAAGAAACGACCCGCATGACCACCGCTCTCCACTGCACTGTTTGCTGCACTGTTCATTCCACTGTTCAGTGCGCCGCCCTCCAGAAGCTGCCGAGCGAGGCCGGCCGCCTTCTTGAACTTGGTCGGCGTGCCGATGTGGGCGGCGATCTTGGCGATTGCTGACGTCACCTTGTCCTCTGCCACCTCAGCAAACGTGTTGAAGCGCACCCGCCGGCGCGGGGGGGCTGGAAACGGGAGGAGGGTGGGGGGGGGGGGGGGGGGGGAGAGGGGGGGTAAAGGGGAGGAAGGGGGAGAAGGGGGAAAAAGAGGGGGGGTGTCGGGAGGAGGTTTTAGTCTTGATGGGATATTAGATATCTGGGCGGTGTAAGAGGGGAATGAGGAAGTTGGGCTAGGGAAGCAGAAATTACGAGATTCCGCTTACGGTAACCAGAACAGGAATAAGGACAATTAGGGTTAGGGAACCGGGGTTGAGTGGTAGAGGAAAAGTGGGAGCCAAAAACCGGTCAGATAGCAGCGGCGACATGCAACCCTAATCTAGTGCAGAGTCAGCAAACCAGGTCACACAAAGTCAACGCCAGTCAACGAAGTCTGCAGCGTCCATACCGTCGCCATCTGCCTCGTCCGCCCCAGCCATCCCCACGCGCGGCGACATGCAACCCTAATCTAGTGCAGAGTCAGCAAACCAGGTCACACAAAGTCAACGCCAGTCAACGAAGTCTGCAGCGTCCATACCGTCGCCATCTGCCTCGTCCGCCCCAGCCATCCCCACGCGCTTCCTGGTCTTTCCGCCTTCCTCCGACCCCCCACCCGCGTCCCCCGCGCTGACATTCCCCGTCCCCTCTTCCCCCCTGGCGTCCGCCCGCCCTTTGAGTGACGACTTGAGTGCAGACGGTTTTGGCGCAACGGCCGCGGGCCGTTCAGCAGGAGTTGACGGTTTGCTAGACGGAGTTGACGTTGACGACGGAGGGTTCGCGCGAGTCGGTGGCTTGGGAGCATTCGACGGCGGAGGCAAGTCGCCGAAGAGGCCCATCGCGATACGCGCGGCGAGGAACGCGGCGGCAAAAGAAAAGCGGAAAAAGAGGAAGACGATTCGATTGGAATGCCGTTGTGAAAGGGTGAATAAGGAAGAACGAGTGCGTATTGCGAAAGACGCTGAGAAAAAGCGTGCCGACGCAGAGGATTGAACTCTGGACCTTCTGTTTACAAGACAGATGCTCTACCACTGAGCTACACCGGCCTGCTGAAAAGAGCAACATATTTGAATAGAAAATATTTCACACTAGCTCGCAGCTCTCACTTTGAAGACAATTGCCAAGTCATATGGATTTGGTTGTAGCCAGCTGTGATATTAATCGTTGGGTTCAATGTGGGAGCACGACATGCGCATGTCAGGCTCGCACCCTCAGCTTGGCGCTAATTACCCGACGCGTCCCTCGCAGCCCGCCATGCATGCGTCGCGGATTCTCCTCCTAGTCCCGCGTGACAGCTCACCACTCCCGCACTGCGCCTCTGCGTTAGTAGCCGAGGCGCGGGATCGACCCGTCATGAATCAGAGGCTCCCGAACGGCATGCCGGTCGCGATGGGGAATAGTTTTTTTTGCCCCGGGCAGAAAGCTTCCGCCGGCTCCGCGTCCTGGTGGATTCGAAACCCACCAGGACAGGGACCTGGTGGGTTTGGGCCCGTAGGAACACATGACTTCGCATCGACCCGCCCATCGGCCCGTCTTCGCCCTCCCAACCGCCACCACTCCCCCCATCGTCCGCGGCCATTTCCCCCCCACTCGTCCTTCCCGAATTTCTCTACACAATTAGCGCAGAGAAGGAGCCTTCCCGGTCCGTGGATGCTCCCCGCAGACCGCCGCTCTTCTCCCTTCCCGCCGTACCGCCCCATGTCTCTTGGAAATTCCTCCCCTCCTCGCCACACTGGTGAGGGGAGGGGCCGAATTTTCGACTTCGGGAAACCGTTCGGAGGACGCTGGGGGACATTGTGGGATTGGTGGGGGGGGACGTTGCAGGGACGTGCGGGGACGTTACTAGGGCGGCGTTGCCATATCATCTCACTGACTCGGAACACCGCAAAGGGCCGTGCAGCCCGCTGTCATAGCAGCTGGCAGATTGGTTGGATCATCCGTTTCGTAGGCGTGACGAGTGAGCACTGGAGCCGCGTCATCAGGAAATAAGCGAAGGCGTTAGTAGGCGCGAGCTGAACGCGGCGAGCCGGAAACGCGATCAATGGCATCCTTCGTGCTCCAGACCCCCTCTTGTCACGCCTCCCCACCCTTAGCGGCCGCCCCCGCCGCAGCCGCCGCTTTCCCGCCAAAGGGTCGCCTGGTGGTGTCGCCGAGCTGGCGAAAATTCGCACAGCCGCCACGGCTGAGGGGGATAAGCGGGCTATGCTCGCGACAGCACGGCGTTGACGTGATTGGACATGGCTCTGATCGGACGGCGAGGGTTGGTCGCGTGAGGGGCGGCGTTGATTTTACGGCGAGATGCTTGGGGAGGCGAGCAGAAGGGGAAGAGGAGAGAGGTGACGTGGCAGATGGGGGGGAGACTGCTCAACAGGAAAAATCGCCAGTGAGTGTTAGAGAGTGAAGGGAGTGAAGGGGGTCAAGGGAGTCAAGAGTCAAGGTCAAGGGAGTCACGAGTCAAGGGAGTCAAAGGAGTCAACCTCAGCCATGGCAACGTTTTCAGCTGCATCCCTCTCATGGTCTAATCGGCCCTTTTTTAGCTGGCAGCGAGGTGGTCTCAACTCTCCTGTCTGTCCTTCTCTCCTCTCCCTTGTCCATCCTTTTTTTCAACGTTTTCTGTCAGTCTTTTCCCATGTCCGTCTTTGTCACCTCTCCGCCTCCCCTCTTCACGTCGTCCCACCCCTCTCTCCCCCTTCCTCCCCCTCTCTTCTCGCTCTCCCCCTCTCTTGCCCGCTCCCCCCTCTCTTCCCCTCTCTCCCCCGCTCTCCCCCTCTCCCCCGCTCTCCCCCTCTCTCCCCCGCTCTCCCCCTCTCCTCCCCGCCCCTCCTTCCTGGCAGCTGGCGGACGAATCCGTGGCTGCCACGTGTATCAATACCATCCGCATGCTGGTGGTCGATGCAGTCAACAACGTCAACGCGGGGCACCCCGGGTCCGCCATGGGGTTGGCGCCACTTGGCGCGCTGCTATTCGCCGAGGAGATGCGCTTCGACCCCGCCGATCCCGCGTGGCCCAATCGCGACCGCTTCATCCTGAGCAACGGCCACGTGTGTCTGCTGCAGTACTGCCTGCTTCATCTAACGGGATACGATCTCCAGGTGTGTTAGGCTGTGTTGGGCGTGTGTTGTGTGTGTGCATCATCAACTGTGGAGCAACGGCCACGTGTGCCTGCTGCAGTACTGCCTGCTGCACCTCACTCGGTATAATCTCCAGGTGAGTTGGGCGTGTGCTGGGAGTGTGGTGGCGTGGGCAAGCTGCTGCTGCTGTATCCATTCGTAATCCCTTCAATGAGTCGTGTTTTGAGTCAACTCGAAACACGAGTTGGGCGTGTGCTGGGAGTGTGGTGGCGTGGGCAAGCTAAGCTGCTGCAGTATCCAGTCGTAATCCCTTCATTTTGAGCGACGGCCACGTGAGTCTGCGGCAGTACTGCTTGCTGCATGACTGGATATAATCTCCAGGTCAGTCGCATGTGTGCTGGGCAAGCTGCTGCAGTACCCAATCGGTGTGATGTTCCTTGCCAACCTCTTTGTATCCCTGCCAACCTCTTTGTATCCCTGCCAACCTCTTTGTATCCCTGCCAACCTCTTTGTATCCCTGCCAACCTCTTTGTATCCCTGCCAACCCCTTCCCCCCAAAATCCCCCGGTGGCAGATGAAGGACCTGAAGCGGCTGGCGAAGCTGGGGAGCAAGACGCCAGGGCACCCGGAGAACACACTCACGCCAGGCCACCCGGAGAACACACTCACGCCAGGCCACCCGGAGAACACACTCACGCCAGGGATAGAGGTCACCACAGGTGGGGTTGGTTGGGGTGGTGGGGTGGGGGCCGCCGCCACAGGCGAATCTTGTGGTGTAGCTGTTTGCGTCAATGCTGTTTCGGAATCCCGCTTGTCTCTCCTCCGCCTCGTCTTCCTCCGTGTCAACTCTCTTCCTTCCTTCCTGGTTCTGAGTTCTGAGTCGACTCAAAACTCGACTTCCTTCCTGGTTCCAGCTGTCAGACGTCTCAAGCCTTCCTTTTGCCTCCATGTCCGTTACTCCTGTGCTCGTTCCCTTGCAGGTCCCCTGGGGCAGGGCTTTGCGAATGCGGTGGGGGTGGCGGCAGCAGAGGCGCACCTGGCTGCTCGCCTCAACACTGTTGACTTCCCTGACCTCATTGACCACCACACGTGAGCAACAATCCACATCAGCAGTTTTACGAGTCAGATTTATACATCACATCGCACCTGGCTGCTCGCCTCAACACTGTTGACTCCCCTGACCTGATTGACCACCACACGTGCGTGCCGGTCCATATCAGTGGTTTTGTGAGTCAGACTCACTGGTCTTGCTTGGCTGCTCGCCCCAAAACCGTTGACCACGTGTCACTGGAGCCTCACTCGTTGACCCCATTGACCTCGTTGACCACCGCATACAGTGCCAAGGTTCGAGTGGGGAACGGTTGACCTCGTTGACAGCATTGACTTCGTTGACTTCACCTCATGCCCTCCTGCCCACAACTATATTGTCTAGACCTCCGGCCGAGTCTATATGGAGTGAGTGGGGTAGTGTAGCAGGTCTCACCTGACGGGGTAGTGTAGCAGGTCTCACCTGACGGGGTAGTGTAGCAGGTCTCACCTGACGGGGTAGTGTAGCAGGTCTCACCTGACGGGGTAGTGTAGCAGGTCTCACCTGACGGGGTAGTGTAGCAGGTCTCACCTGACGGGGTAGTGTAGCAGGTCTCACCTGACGGGGTAGTGTAGCAGGTCTCACCTGACGGGGTAGTTCTGCCATCGATGTCCCTGTCACTTTTGAGAATTCTCAAAAGTCATGTCATGTGATCCCAACCACAAGCCCTGAGTCGTCCTAATGCTTGTCGTATCGTATGTGCTTCTCGCTACAGTCTCGAATCCTCGCCTTGCCTCCTCCCCTGCGTGTTGCCCGTGCGCCTGCCGTCCAGGTTCGTTGTATTTGGCGACGGCTGTGCCATGGAGGGCGTGGTGAATGAGGCAGCGTCCCTGGCGGGCCACTGGGGGCTGGGCAAGCTCATCGCCTTTTACGACTCCAACCAGGTGCGACAGCTGCACTTGGGCTGAAACCCCACGTGAAAGGATGTGGGGTCACATGGGTCAGTAGGGAGTAGCAGCATCACTAACAGGCCACTGGGGGCTGGGCAAGCTTGTCACCTTCTGTTTTCCAACCAGGTGCTGGATACAGTTGCTGTGTGGGCGGAAACTGGTTGTGCGGGCGGTACGTCCTGCATCTAACTCCCCTCCTCCCCTATATGTCTCACCTTTCCCTGCTCTCTGGAGCTGTCCCTTCTTCTCGCCCCCTCCCAACCTTACCCACCCACCACAGGTCACCATATTCAGGTAGCACATCACTTGCCTTCCGAAAACGTCCTCGATTGCTCTTGAGACTTCTTACTCCACTCTTCCCCAGCAGAATCCACTATACAGAATAATATTAAGAGCTACCACCACCAACAGCTGCAATAGCAGCTGCTGCAGCGTCAGCAGCAAAGCGAAGCAGCAGCAGCAGCTTTAACGGCCACACGAGGAGTAGTGGCAGCACGTTTTAGCAGCTTGCTAAACGTGCTGCCCTGATCTTCGTGTGGCCGTTGAAGCTGCTGCTCCGTTTGCTACTGACGCTGCAACAGCTGCTATTGCAGCTCTTGATGCTGATAGTTCTTAATTATATATATGTATATATATATATATATATATATATATATATATATATTAGTTTTCGCTTAGGCCTCCGCACCCCACCTGTTTCGTTACTGACACGTCCTCGATCGCTCGAGACTTCTTACTCCCCCCTTCCCCTCCTCAACCCCTACACACCCCCCCCCCCCCCCAGGTCACCAGAGATGGCAGCACTGCCCTCGCCTTCACTGAGGAAGTCATGGGTCGCTCTTTGAGGCGTCTCACATTCCCTCTTCCCCCCCTTACCTTCACCTCTCCTCCCTTCCCTCCCCTCCCCCTCCCCCCCAGGTCACCATAGACGGCAAGACAGACCTCGCCTTCTCAGAGGACGTCCTGGGCCGCTTCGTTGCGCGTCACGTGCAGTGCAGCATCACGTGCAGTGCAGCATCACGTGCAGTGCAGCGTCACGTGCAGTGCAGCGTCACGTGCAGTGCAGCATCACGTGCAGTGCAGCGTCACGTGCAGTGAATCCCACTTACCCCTTCCCCCCACCTTTCCCTTTCCCCCGACTTCCCACTCCTCCTCCCCCCTCCCTCCCCCAACAGGTCACCATAGACGGCAGCACGGACATTGCCTTCTCAGAGGACGTCCTGGGCCGCTTCGCCGCGCTGAGGTGGCACGTGCAACGAATCACAATGCGCGACGCCGCTGACCTGGATAGCCTGCGAGCCGCCATTCAAGCCGCCAAGAGGGAAACCCACCGGCCATCAGTCATTCAAGTGGACACGTTGATCGGGTTCGGCTCCCCCAAGAAGCAGGGCACGAGCGCGGCCCACCATGGGGCGTTTGGAAAGGAGGAGACTGGAGCCATTAAGAAGACGCTGCACTGGCCCTACAACGAGCCGTTTACTGTTCCCGAGGAGGTGTACAGGTGCGTGGGAGGGGAGAGGTATCTGGCCGTTGCTGTGAGGTTGTCGAAGATCCTGTTATCTTGATTTTACCTGCTGCTGTCATGCAGAACAGCTCCCACCGTATTCATCTATTGCACTACTTTCCATCACGATTGCCTTCTCTTTTATATCAAGGAAACCCATCATACGTGGATACAAGCTCAGTGACCCTCTAATGGTCCGTATATTGATTTGAACAAGTTCAACGGGATAGTATTCCTATGGTAAGCGTCTAGTCCTGGGACTCTAACCAATATACGGGATATACGGCACATGATCTCTGAACCACAGACTAGGTTCTAGACCTGGCCGCTCCGTTACAAGCTCAGGGATACAAGCTCAAGGACCCTCCCTCTCTCCACCCACCCTCTGTCACCGCCTCTCTTCCCCCCTCCAAACCCTTCCTCTCCCCTCCTGCCTCCCTCCTAATGCCCGCTCTTCCATCTGCCAATCAGGGCCATGCATAAGGCGGCTGCGCGTGGCCAATCAGCAGCTGCCAGCTGGAGGGATCGGGTGGCGCAGTACCGCCAACGCCACCCAGACCGGGCGGCGCTTTTGGACGCACTCACATTGCCTGGGCGGCTGCCAGCTGGCTGGGAGGACTCGTTGCCGGTGAGAGAGGGTGGAGGGTGGAAAGGGGAGCAGGTAGGGGAGAGGGAGGAGAATGGGGGAGAGGAGGGGAAAGAGAGGGGTGTGTTTTGGGGAATTCTTGAAAATACCCCTCTAACGCTTCAAGGGTACTCCATAGTGTGCCGCAATGCAACGTGCCCTCGCCTCCTCCTCCCCCTTCCTCTTGCATCCCTCCCCGATCTTGCCCCCCACCCCCTCCCAGCACTCCTACCCATGGAACCTCCCTGACATCACGCGACGCGAGGCCACTCTTAGGCATAGAACCCACCTGGCATAGAACCCACCTGGCATAGAACCCACCTGGCATAGAACCCACCTGACATGCGCTGCAAGCAACGCATCAATGCCCCGACTATCTCCTATCCGTGCCGCCTCTCTCCCTTTCCCCCCCTCCTCTCCAGCACTTCCAACCATCAACTCCTCCCGATGCCACGCGTGGTTACTCTGAAGCGTGTCTCAACGGCCTCGTGCACTCGCTGCCCAACCTGCTGGGCGGCAGTGCTGACCTGGCATCCTCCAATAAGGTGAGGCATGCTGACGTGGCGTTTAGATAACATGCAAGAGACTGCCAGCATGAGCCCACATCATGGTAACCAGCGGTCTCCCTCCCCTCATCACCCCTTTTCCGCGGCCCCCTCATCCGCCCTCCCCTCATTCCCCCTCGCCACGCGCCCCTCCCCACACATGGCGCCCTCCCAGGTGGCCTTTCACGGGCTTCCGGACTTCTCCCGGGAGTGCTTTGAGGGCCGCAACTTCCACTACGGCGTGCGCGAGCATGCCATGGGTGCCATCAGGTGCGTTTTGAGTCGACTCAAAACACACATGGCTGCCATCAGGCGCCATGCGCGCACGGTGGGACAGGGGTGAGCATGACATGCTAGGGCAGGGGTGGTGAGCATGATGCGAGGGCACAGCATGGTGTGCACCTCCTGACATGCTGTGGCAGGGGTGGTGAGCATGAGGTGAGTGCATGGCGTGGCGGGCATCACCTGACATGCTGCCACACCGGACTTCTCCCGCAACTGCCTTTGAGGGGAGCAAGATCCACTACGGCGTGCGCGAGCATGCCATGGCTGTTATATAAAAGGGCAGGATCTGACATGCCAGCCGTATTTATTAAGAGATTATGAGAGTGCGCTTTCATACTACCCACATCACATCATCTGATCCACGGCTTTCATTCTGCGGCTGGTTGGACACTAGCACACTGATCCTCGCAATGAGGTCATTTTCGAGACATTTAAAAAAATCTGCGGCTGCTGGGACACTAGCACACTGACCCGACACGCACACATGTCCTCCCATCACACATGTCCTCCCATCACACATGTCCTCCCATCACACATGTCCTCCCATCACACATGTCCTCCCATCACACATGTCCTCCCATCACACATGTCCTCCCAGCACACATGTCCTCCCATCACCCCACCCTGGCTTCCGCCACTCCTTCTGCATTCTTCCTATCCAGCTTCCTCCAAAACTGACCCTTTTAAGCAACAGGCTGACCCTCCACTCACATGCGTTCGTCCCATCCCATCCCATCCCATCCCATCCCATCCCCCACTCCAAAATCCCTCCCCAACCCTCTCTCCCCTCCAGCAACGTCCTTGCCTTGCATTCACGGGCGCTTATCCCAGTGGCAGGCACCTTCCTCGTCTTTTCCATCAACCTGCAACCCCCAACCTTGTTTCCCCACTCTTCACCTCCAGCAACGGCCTTGCCCTGCACTCACGGGCGCTCATACCAGTGGCAGCCACCTTCCTCGTCTTTTCCGACTATATGCGGCCGGCGCTGCGCCTCGCCGCCCTCTCCGCCGCCCGTGTGCTCTTTGTCTTTACCCATGACTCCATCGGGCTGGGGGAGGACGGCCCCACGCACCAGGTGAGCCCAATTTGTCCAGAATTTTTCTATTATTTATTCACTCATCCGTACATCTAATCATATTTTTATCTATGTATCTATTCATCTATTTTCTTACATACATATATATATTCATATATTGCCCAGAGAATTGGACTTGTTGTCGATACCATGTGTTTTCTGCCCTTTCCTTCCTTTCCACATCATCCCACTACAGCCATTGGAGCATAATAGCATATCCCCTCCCTCTAGGCAATCCATATTGGAGTATATGCCCTTTCCTTCCTTTCTCAAAAGCATAATAGCATATCCCCTCCCTCTAGGCAATCCCCAACCTCCACGCCATCCGCCCAGCACACCACCTGAACTCCTCTCTCTACTCCTCCCCTTCTCTTCCTTCCCCTGTTCCTTCTCGTGTCCACCCCCTCTCCCCTTCTACAGCCAGTGGAGCACCTGCCATCCCTCCGGGCAATCCCCAACCTCCATGTCATCCGCCCCGGCGACGCCACCGAGACAGCTGGCGCCTACGTGGCGGCGATCTGGCGCAGCGTGGGGCCCACCGCGATCCTGCTGTCCCGTCAGAAGCTGACAGCTCAGCTCCAGGGGTCGTGCAGGGAGGGGGTGTTGAGGGGGGGATATGTGCTGGGAGGGGAGGGGAGGGAAGAAGAGGAGGAGGGGGAGGGAGGAGAAGGTGGATTGGATTTGATTCTGATTGGGTCAGGATCGGAGCTGGTGCTCTGCCAGGAAGCTGCTGAGAAGCTTCGCCAGGAAGGGTACAGGTGAGACTGAGCGAGGCTGCATGTGGCTGGGCCTCGCGCGTTTGGGCATCTAATTCTTTAGTTCCCCCAAAAAGCAACCACCCTCATTTGCATAAACCAGGCCGACCCCTTTCTGCGTGCATGGTGTATCACCAACAAGCAGTGTGCGAGCCGTGTGCCTGGGGTCGTGTGCCTGGGAGCCGAAGAAATCTCTTTTCTTAAAGCCGTCTAAGATATCATCTACTGCTTGTCAACCCAACCCCTCCGTACCCATGCCTCTTGCCTCATGCCGCATGCTGCACCCGCATCCACCCCTCACACATCACATGCAAGCAGGGTGATGACATGCACACTGCATGCAAGCAGGTTGATGACATGCACACTGCATGCAAGCAGGTTGATGACATGCACACTGCATGCAAGCAGGTTGATGACATGCACACTGCATGCAAGCAGGTTGATGACATGCACACTGCATGGAAGCAGGTTGATGACATGCACACTGCATGCAAGCAGGTTGATGACATGCACACTGCATGCAAGCAGGTTGATGACATGCACACTGCATGCAAGCAGGTTGATGACATGCACACTGCATGCAAGCAGGTTGATGACATGCACACTGCATGCAAGCAGGTTGATGACATGCACACTGCATGCAAGCAGGTTGATGACATGCACACTGCATGGAAGCAGGTTGATGACATGCACACTGCATGCAAGCAGGTTGATGACATGCACACTGCATGCAAGCAGGTTGATGACATGCACACTGCATGCAAGCAGGTTGATGACATGCACACTGCATGCAAGCAGGTTGATGACATGCACACTGCATGCAAGCAGGTTGATGACATGCACACTGCATGCAAGCAGGTTGATGACATGCACACTGCATGCAAGCAGGTTGATGACATGCACACTGCATGCAAGCAGGTTGATGACATGCACACTGCATGCAAGCAGGGTGGCTGCCCTCCCCTGCTGGGAGTTCTAGTGAGGCATCTAGGAATTCTCCTGCATGCAGCCCATGCCGCATGCCTCAACCCCATCCCGCGCCCTAGACTCGTCCTCCCCCCTCGCATATCGCATGCAAGCAGCATGCGGGTGGTGTCCCTCCCCTGCTGTAATCTCTCTGAGGTATCTAAAAAGTCTTCTTCCCTGCTTGCCAACCCAAACCCAACCCGTCCATGCCCCACCGCCCCACCCCCAACCCCCCTCGCATATCGCATGCAAGCAGCGTGCGGGTGGTGTCGCTCCCCTGCTGGGAGCTCTTCAGGCAGCAGCCTAGGGAGTATCGGGACGCTGTGCTGCCGCCACGTGTCACCAAACGACTGGCTGTTGAGGCTGCTCGCTCCCAGGTAGGCTGGTTCTCTAGCTGCTGCTTCTATTGATGGTTCTGCTTAATGTTTAGTATTATGTTTGTCCCAGCCATGTTGTGTATGCTTACTTTGTGGCTAAACTTGCCCCCTGCCTTTCACTCACAGGGCTGGTGCGAGTGGGTGGGACCTGAGGGGTCTGTCCTCTCTGTTGAGCGATTCGGTGCCAGCGGGCATTATCTTGAAGTGTTCCATACGTTCGGATTCACTGTAGACAAAATTATGGAGCACGCTTATAAGGTGATGGGTAGGATCCAGTGAGATGGAGTGCGGTGGAGAACGGTGGTGCGTGAACTGTGATTTTGTTTAGGGGGTGTCATGTCGAATTGTAAGCATTATTAAGACACGGCAAGCTTTGCAGTGAACAAGGGACTGATAAGCTGGGAATCAGAAGTCCACTTGCCTCTGGAACCATGCAGATACTGCTTCATGCCTTGTCAAAATAGACAGGTGGTGGGCTTCAAAGGCCTTACTTTCATCAACTTGTTAGGTAGTCATTAACTCCGCGACCTCCCTTTCACCTCCTCTCACGAACATCTCATGCTACAAGTCCAGTGCTCGCATCCCCTCCTCTCACACCCCTCTTCCCACAACCCTCCTTCCACACCTTTTCTCCCACACCTCTCCTTCCACACCCCTTCTCCCACACCTCTCCTTCCACACCCCTTCTCCCACACCTCTCCTTCCACACCCCTTCTCCCACACCTCTCCTTCCACACCCCTTCTCCCACACCTCTCCTCCTACGCCCCCGCTCCCACAACTACACTCACCCCACACACCCCTAGCCCCATACACACCCCTCATCCCACACCTTTCAACCCACGCATCCCATCTCCTCCACCCCCTCCTTCCCGATCCCCCTCCCCTCACACCCCTCCTCCCACACCCACACGTCCTCACCCCATCCTCACCCCATCCTCACCCATCCTCACCCCATCCTCACCCCATCCTCACCCCATCCTCACCCATCCTCACCCCATCCTCACCCCATCCTCACCCATCCTCACCCCATCCTCACCCATCCTCACCCCATCCTCCTGTGCTCACACACCTTCTCCCAGACCCTTCTCCCCGCACTCCCTTTCCTCCGTTGTACCCCTCAACCCACGCCCCTCCTCCCACACATTCTTACTCCACACACCCCTTCCACTCCATCTCCTTGCACTCCCTCCCCCACACTCCTCTCTCTTTCCCTCTGCTCCCCACACTCCCACTTCCTCACCCTCATTGCTCACTCCCTTCCCTTCCCTGCCATGAACCTAGCCCGTGTGAGGCTCTTGGACACACACAGATTGGTTCTTGAAGGGAAGCCTTCAACAAACAGAACAAACAGATACCATCAAGCATACCGTATAATACTGGTTGTACTGGTACAATGTATAAGCTCATATATATACACTAATAAATGGCCCCTTCTATGCAAATCGAACGGTATTAACACTACACTTCAGCAGCACCTTGTTCCGCATATTACCCGCATCAGCAACACATTATCAGGGTCCTATCCATGCGTCATCCACGTCTTATCGGTGGTCTACCACCGTCTATCTACAGCTTAACCACGCCTTATTCGCGTGCGGGCGGCTTATCCATGTCTTATCGACGGCTTATCCAAGTATTACTCAATGGACACACCGGCCAGTATCAGAGCGCATTGAGCCATGCGAGGGGCAAGGAAGCGAGGAGAAAGGGAGCCACAGAGTGGCACTAGAGACGGAGGTCCAAGGAGGTGACGGCCTCTGAACCCCCCTCTCTCTGCCTCCCATGCTCTCGACTCGAGCCATGGCTCTGCTGCTGCCGCACCTGCTGATCCATCTGCTGCTCTGCCTGCGTCTGCCCTACCTGTTGACCTATATGCTGCTCTACCTGCTTCTGCTCTGCAATTCGTAGCTGCTGCCCCAAATTCTGTCCCAACTGCTGCCCCAACTGCTGCTCCAGCTGCTGCCACAGCTCTTGCTGCTGCCGGCTTTGCTGTGTTTGCCGGGTTGACTGCTGAGCCACACCCGGGGGCAGCTCAGATGCACCCGACGGCTGCTGTGGTGGTCCTGCTACGTGCTGCTGTGCTTCAAACGGATGACCCAGATGCTCCCCCAACTGCTCCTGCAACTGCTGCACCAACTTCTGCCCTGATTCCCGCCCCAAATGCTGCTCCAGGTACTTCCATAGCTCTTGCTGCTGCCGGGTTAACTGTGCTGGCTGGGTTGACTGCTGAGCCACGCCGTGAGACACCTTAGAGCCCCATGACGGCTGCTGTGGTGGTCTTGCCACGTGCTGCCTTGCCTGTCGACCCGCCTGACTTTCTAACGGCTGCCGTACCAACTGCTGCTGCCGCTGCTGTGACTGCTGCTTCAGCTGTGACTGCTGTGACTGCTGCTGCAGCTGTGACTGCTGTGACTGTTGCTGCGGCTGCTGCTGCTGCGATAGCTGTTGCTGCGGCGGCGGCTGCTGCTGTGATAGCTGTTGCTGCGGCTGCTGCTGCTGCGATAGCTGTTGCTGCAGCTGCGACTGCTGCCGCTGTTGTGACTGCTGCTGCAGCTGCTGTGACTGCTGTGACTGCTGCTGCAGCTGCCCCTGCTGCGACTACTGCTGCAGCTGCGACTGCTGCTGAAGCTGCGACTGCTGCTGAAGCTGTGACTGCTGCTGCAGCTGCGACTGCTGCTGAAGCTGCAAGGGATGCTCTGGCGTTCTCTGCAGAAGAATGTGTGGAACAGACTAAACCTGGTTTGACTGCATTGACTGTGTTGACTGCATTGACTGCATTGACTGTGTTGACTGCATTGACTGCCGCTGCTGCTGCTGCGCCGCTGCTGCAGAGGATTGTGCGAGGGGCAGGGGAGCTAGAAGAGCGAGGCTGGAAGGGGCTGCTGCAGCAGGAGAGAGACTGGCAAGAATGGCATAGGCAGTAGCGTCACTGGCAGGGACAGCAGCAGCAGCAGCAGCAGCAGCAGCAGCAGCAGCAGCAGCAGGGGCCATGGCAGTAGAAGCGGCAGCAAGGGTGGGGGCAGCTGGAGGGAATAGAGAGGCGAGAGACGGCAAGAGAGGAAGGGAGGGGAGAGGAGTGGTGGGGGCAGGATGGGCCAGCAGGGCTCTCATGCTGTCCATCACACGTGCTGCTCTCATGCTGTCCATCACACCGGCTGCTCTCATGCTGTCCATCACACCGGCTGCTCTCAGCAGACTGTCCACTGGGAGGGTGGCACCTGGCAGTGCTGCTGCCGGGGCTACAGAAGGGGGTGTGGTGGGAGTGGGAATTGGTGCTGCAGCAGGGGGTGTGGCAGGGGTTGGCAGTGGTGCAGTGGGTACGGCAGGTGTTAGAGGTGGTGCTACAGCAGAGGCAGGAAGCGCAGGTGGAAAGGGCAAGGCATGTGGGCGCGACGATGGGGGCAGGTGCTGTGGTGAGACGGTGTCGGAAAGGCTCGCAGAGGCACACGCAGCAGCACTAACACCTGGGAAGAGAGGGGAGGAGAGGGTTTGTGATATGACTGGGAGGGAAGGAGGAGGACGAGGGGGAGGTGGTGGAGGAAGAGTGGGGGGAGGGAGGGTAAGATCAGGGGCTGAGAGGGGAGAGGCTCCACCAGAAGCAGAAGCGGCAACAGCAGCCGCAGCTGCAGCGATGATGGCAGCAGCAGAGAGGGGCGCGAATAGTGAAGGGGGCACAGCGGGGGTTTGGGCCGATTTCATGAGTGAAGAAGAGTGGTTGGGAGCAAGGTGGTCGGCGGGAGCGTGGTTAAAATGCGAATGGTTGGCGGGAGGGAGGTTGGCGGGAGGGTGGTTCGGGGGCGGGCGGTTGGTGGGCGGGTGGTTGGTGGGCGGGCGGTTGGTGGGCGGGCGGTTGGTGGGCGGGTGCTTGGTGCGAGGGTGGTTGGCAGGAGAGTTGTTGGCGGGAGGGTGGGTGGCGGGTGGGTGGGTGGCAGTAGGCTGGTTGGAAGGAGGGTAATTGGCTTGGGAGACAGAGGCTGGATCAACAGCGAGAGTTTGGGGAGAGAAAGCTTGGGGAGCAGCAAGAGGTTGGGTAGCGGGAGGTTGGGAAGCGGGAGGTTGGGTAGCGGGAGGTTGGGGAGCGGGAGGTTGGGGAGCGGGAGGTTGGGTAGCGGGAGGTAGGGGAGCGGGAGGTTGGGGAGCGGGAGGTTGGGGAGCGAGGAGGGTGTGCAAAGGGGAGGAGGTGGAGAAGCAGGCGTGGAGGCGTTGCCATGGCGTGCCATGCGCTGCTGCACTCCCCCTCATCCTCGCACTGCCACTCCCTGCCACACTTCCACTCACCCCTGCACTGCCACTCACCCCCACACTGCCACTCACCCCCACACTGCCACTCACCCCCACACTGCCACTCACCCCCACACTGCCACTCACCCCCACACTGCCACTCACCCCCACACTGCCACTCACCCCCACACTGCCACTCACCCCCACACTGCCACTCACCCCCCCACTGCCACTCACCCCCACACTGCCACTCACCCCCGCACTGCCACTCACCCCCTCACTGCCACTCACCCCCGCACTTCCCCTCATCCTTGCACTGCCACTCACCCCCGAGCTTTGAGGCGCCTCAAAACTTGCTGCTGCACTGCCCCTCACTCCCGCACTGCCACTCGCCCCCGCACTGTCTCTTATTCCCGCACTGCCTCTCATGCTTGCACGGCCTCTCATGCTTGACGACGGCCTTAATTCATGAGAGGATAGTTCTGCTACTGACGCTGCTGCTCCTTCTCCAGTTCCTGCTACTGCCACTCCTGCTGTTCCTGCACCCCCACGGCCCCTCACTCCTGCATTTCCTCTCATTCTTGCAGATGGCCTCGATGCGTCAGGAGGGGATGGTTCTGCTACTAACGCTGCTGCTCCTGCTGCTACCCCTCCTCCTCCTCCTCCTCCTCCTCCTCCTCCTCCTCCTCCTCCTCCTCCTCCTCCTCCTCCTCCTCCTCCTCCTCCTCCTCCTCCTCCTCCTCCTCCTCCTCCTCCTCCTCCTCCTCCTCCTCCTCCTCCTCCTCCTCCTCCTCCTCCTCCTCCTCCTCCTCCTCCTCCTCCTCCTCCTCCTCCTCCTCCTCCTCCTCCTCCTCCTCCTCCTCCTCCTCCTCCTCCTCCTCCTCCTCCTCCTCCTCCTCCTCCTCCTCCTCCTCCTCCTCCTCCTCCTCCTCCTCTTCCTATGGTTGTTGCTGCTGCTACTTCTCCGGTTCCTGCTACTGCTGCTGCTCCTGCTGTTCCTGCCCCTGTTCCTGCAGCAGGCAGCTCAGCAAGAAGAGCACTGCTGGCAAAAGCGGCAATTCTTGCAAGAGAACTGCTACTGGTAGCAAGAGTGGCACTGTTTACAAAAGCGGTGCTGTTAGCAAGGGTGGTGCTGGTTGCAAGAGTGGCACTGCTAGCACGTGGGGAGCTGAGAGGAGGCAGTGACTCTGGTTCGGCCTTGATGCCTGATGATAATCTTATTCTTCCGCTTACTCCTCCTGCATGAATGCCACGTGGCGCGCAATCTGCCACGTCAGCACCTTCTCCGGTTTGCAATTTCCTCCCGCCAGCAACATTAGCAGCAACAGCAGCAGCACCGCCACCAGCATCACCTCGATCACCAATAGCACCAGCAGGCTTGGTAGTAGTAGCAGCAGCACCTGGTCTGCTCCTTTCACCTGGTCTGCTCCTTTCACCTGGTATGCTCCTTTCATCTGGATTGTTCTTTTCACCTGAAGCGAAATAACTGAAGCCACCATTTGCCTTAGAGCTTCCTCTACGTGTGTGTTTTTCAACCGAATGACTATGAGATGAGCTATCGCGTGGCAGCGATTGCCTGAAAGTACCGCATGTGGTTTCACCCCTGTAGACTCCCTGTCGGGCCTGCTCCATTTGTCTGGTCTCTTCCCTCTGCAGGTGCATCAGCTGCCCTTCGTCTCTCAGAGGCCTTTCCACGGGGTCTGATTCGCGGTGATCAGAAGCAAGAGTTCTTGCGTCTGTTGGGAGGTCTGTTGGAAAATCTGTTGGGAAACCTGAGGCAGGGTGTCCCAAATATGACCTTATTCGCCGTGCCACGGGACCCTCTCCCTCTCTGCTGTACTCGCTCCACTCTTGCTTCACTGCTTCCAGAGCCCTTCCAGGGGCCTCTTGTGGATCAGAGTGCGTTCTTCTGTCAGTGCAGGTGAGAGAAGATCTACCCCTGGATAGCTGGTGCAATGAGGCTGAAGCTCCTGAAAGTCCACCTTGAAAAGCACCTGAAACTACACCTGAGAGGACACCAGCGAAGCTGACCGAGGCAGAACCTGAACAGTCACCTGAACGAAGAACTGAAGGAGCGCTGGGAGGAGCACCTGGTTGAGCAACTGAAGGAACACTTGAAGGAACAACTGAGGGAGCACTGGGAAGAGCACCTGGTTGAGCAACTGAAGGAACACCTGAAGGAATACCTGACGGAATGCATGAAAGAACGCTTGAGGGAGCACCAGAAGGAAAACCTGAAGGACCACCTGAAGAAATTCCTGAAGGAGCACCTGACAAAGCACCTGACGGAGCACCTGAAGGAACACCCTGAGGCCATGCATGAGAACGTATTCGGCCAAGCTCGATATGAGCGGACCTTGAATCCACACCAGCATGAACCTCTTGGGAGGCAAGAAGCTGCGAGAGCATGCGAGGATCGGTTGCAAGAGCATTAAAGAGCGCATCGTGTGCTCTGGAAAGCTGAGAACTCGAGAGGGGCTGCAATCTCAAAGGGGGTTGCAATCCCAAGGGCAGAGCCTGGAAGGCGTTAGCACTGGCACCCTGGAACGCTAGTGCTGAGTCGGGGCACCGTCGAGAGCCCGATAGAGGGTCTGTGAAGGTTCCGGAGGCCAGGGGAGGGATTTGAGGAGGTTCGGAGACGACAGGTGGGGTTCGTGGCACAGGTGTGGTAAAGATACTACGGCAGTGCCGCTCCGGAAGACAGTTGGCCTGGGCCCTTTTGGCCTGCACTGTTTCTTCGTCCTCCGCTGCGGCTCCTGCTGCTCGTATTCCTGCTGCTATGACAAATGATGATTCTCCTGCCCCTGCCCCTGCCCCTGCACCTGCTCCTGCCCCTGCCCCGGCTGCTGCCACACGGAAAGCCCCCGAATTCAAGACGGGCGATCCTCCAAGCGTTGGGAATTGGAGCGACCCTTGCGGTGGGGGCGTGGTGGTGGTAACATCAGGAGAGCGGCGTTTCCTACTACTAGGGTTGACTTGAGTGCTGCGGCTGCTAGGCGGGGTAATGTCTCCAGTGTGAGCAACGGAGAGGGGTAACTCCTCACCAGGCTGAACAGGCAGACGCTGGCTCGCAGCGGCAGTGGTGGCAGTGGCAGCAGCGGCAAAGGCGGAGGCAGAGGCAGTGGGAGCAGCATTGGCAGTGGCAGCAGCAGTGACAGTGGCACTGGTAGTGGCAGTGGGAGGGGGGGACGACGATGACGATGGGCTGTCGGAGTCAGCGGGAGGAGGCGGGTGATTGTGCTTGTTCTTGGTGGTCAGGCGCCGAGCTCGCATCTCAACCCTCCGTGCTCTGAGGCCCGTGGTGCTGACGCCAGCACCTGTGGTGCTGCTGCTGATGCTGCTGATGCTCCGTTGGATCGGAACCTTATCCACAACGAGCTTGGCTGGGCATCCCAGCGTGTCCTTTGCTGCGCACGCGTAGTAGAATCTGCATGACACAAAACCAGAGACACGAAAAAACGATTGCATTGGAAAAAAAAAACGGTCTTGATTGCATTGTAACCAATGGATGGCATTAACTAAATCTAGAATAGTGAACTCCAAAATTGACCCAGGGAACAACAGAAGGCACTTTGGGACACTTCAAAGCGGTCTCGAACGCGAGACAGGATGAGAGCGATCGCCAAACCTAGTAGTAGGTGGAACAGATGGCGGGTTGACTAAGAAATTGTGGGGAAAAAAAAATCTACATGATCTAGCCGTTTGGACAACGCTTCAATGAAAGTGAATCACAAAAGGTTCAGCAGATACGAGTCATGGTGATTTAACCCTTATTGTTCTTCACGGGATTGGGCCCAAGCATTGCGCGAAAACTTCCACAGTCTTCTGTATAAACCGCGTAGTTTGCTGATTAAAAAGTTGTTAAAAAAAAAAAAAAAAAAAAAAAAAAAAAAACCAACAACAAACGTGACTCCACTAACCGTTTGCCTTCTTGATGGGATGAAAGGACTTTGTGTCCATATTTCTTCCACTTGTAAGCTGTAATAGGCACGTCAGTCGACATTTCCAAAATTGGAAACCAAAAATCTCAAATGTGCTAACAAAAGCTTGAATCTGTCTGAAAGGTCTGAAGCCGCCGATTTCGAATCGAAGGCCCACAATTTGTGCAGAAGTCGTAAAGAAGCGGGAGCAGAAGTAGTACACATATGGGAACAATAATGCATTGGTGAAAAGTCCAGAATTGGATCACGAAAGTCTCAAAATAGAATTTCTGAAGGCGATAGACTTTCGTCATCAGGTTTCACGGACCACAAACGGATCACGAGGACGATTCGAATAATTGTAGGGTGGAGTGGAATGGAGCTTCTGTCAAGAAACAGTGGGGGGTTTGGTTGGCAGGGTCGAGCTGGTATGGAACAAAACCTTCCGCCAAGACGGGGACAGAAAATGGCTTGCTGGGAGGAATGGACCAAAGCGGGGAAGACAGGCAGCAGATCAATGTGCGGGTGTTAGGGTTTCCAGGAGCCTCTGCCCGGCAACGATGCCAGGGATTGCGTGGAGAAATATACACGTACATGTGCTTAGACTTGTGCGCTGGAGTGAGAAACAGTACAGCACTGCTGTCGGTCAAAGTACAGTATCAAGATGTTCGAATATAGGTTGATACGGAACACACACTACGAAAACGCGTTCCCGGATAATGTATGTGGGGGTTTGCTAGGTTACTCCGCGTGGTTGCCCTCGGGTGGACTCTCTCGGGTGCATCCTGTCATGACCAGTGCTGCACAAAGGCGGAACGGCGAGAACTTGCTGCCCGCGCAGACGCGGTGACTGTATCGGGGCAAGAGGCGGTGATGGCCGTCCAACCATGCTCCATGTGTCATGGTTCGATCCAAGCACGCTGAACAGTACAATGTGACAGCTGAGGGGCGTCCACTAACGTCCATCCTAAAACCAGCAGGTTCTGAGGATGAGGTTAGGTGTTGGTTGTCCAATTAAATGGGTTCTGATATGGACGGTTTTGCCAAAGAAGTTTTGCAGACCGAATGTTTGACTTCACAACAACGTGCAAGACATGCGAATTGAAGACTCCCTACATCGACTACGTGGTTTCATGCCTTTCTAGGAAAAGAAAGCATTTACAAAACACGGTTCGCCATCACCTCGTTGAAACAAATGAAACCTTGCCAGCCTTTGCCAATGGCACGCACCCTCGCCTCTTGGCACTTTCTGCCCCGCCTCAAAGTGGCAGTGGTGTGGGCTGGTTGAATGGGGTGCTAGAAATGGCTGCCCGTTGGTTTTGGGGGACCCTACCAGATCCGAGTCATTAGCCCCGTTCATCCTGCCACTTTCGGGGTGCTTTTATAAGATGCAGTGAGAATTCATTGTTCTGGACGATGTCCAGATAGAGTGTGTAAGATTAGTAGTTTTCTTTAAGTTCTCCCTGTCGCACTTAGGATCAAATATTTTTCTGCTAACTAAAAAATGATTGGGCTGTCGGGGTGTAGGGGAGAAGCTTGGGAACGGCGCATCAGTTTCTCTATTCTGGGCTTTTTTATGTGGGAAGTTCCTGCATGCTGTAAGGGAAATCCCTTTTCCTTACTTCGCAAACCCTGCTCAACGCGTACATCACTGTAGCACCTCAGCCAGCACCGTTACCACTCGCGACCATCGCATCGATAATCATCCCGCCATTTTCGCACATCGCATCCCGACCTCACGGCTCGGCTGGTAACCCGCGCTCCGGGCATACGCTTCGACACTTTCCCAAACCTCAGTCCCAGGCTTGTCGCGCGACTACCACAGACCATTACCGTTACCACTGTAGTTTCGCTATATATTCTTCGCTCATGCCTTCGCTCGCTGTATTCTTGCTTCGATAGTGCAATTCTCGTTCGCTCACTCAATTGCACTCGTAACACTTGGTATTCAGAGCCTACGATCTCATCTCGGACCGCATCCACACCTTCGCTTCCCCACTATCTCAATTTTTGGGGGGGGTAGACGTCTCTCAGCGATACATCACCGCCACTCGTAGTGCTCTCTCGCAAGCACGCACGGCCACGACCGAGGCTCTCGCTGAGCTTGCCCGACACCCCCGCCATGGCCGACTTCACGCTCGCCACATTGTCGCAGGAGCAACTTGATCGTCTCGTGCGTCAACTGGAGGATTCGGCGCTTGAAATCGCGACTCTCACGGCGGAACGTGACTCCGCCCGTCAACAGTCCACGGTGAACATACCCACGACATCACACGCACCAACAAATGTATCTGCACATTCGGATGAGCCGATCGTCATCTCGTCCGGCACACCAACACAACACGACAGCATGGGACAACGCTCAGGCGCAGCCAGTGATGGCGCCGCCCAGCCGATGCCTGGCATGGGAGGAAACAGGATCGCACCAAGCCCACGGGAGCCCCGAGAAGCCCGTCGGCACGTGGAATTTGCGGCGACAAGTGGCGAACACGCCATCATGGCACCAATGCCGCTCAAGCCGCAACGCCCGCCCTGCTTCGACCCAAGCCAACACGGCGGTCCAACGGTTCAATCGTGGGTCTTCACGATGAACGTCTTCTTCGACGCGAATTACGTCGAGTCGGACGCCGCGAAGATCCGGTATGCAGTTTCACTGCTAAGGGGCCCCGCCATGGACTGGTGGCGAGTCTGTCAGAATAATATATAAAACTATATATTGTTTTGTAACTGCCTGTAGTGTAGACTACTGTAGTTATACAATATTCTATTTGGTGGTGCACCTTTCTTTTTGCCTATATGTACTGCTCGCTCTATAGTGAAACCACCTCTTCTCTTTTCAATTCTCTCGACTCTACTCAACTTACTCGAACTCAACTAGCTATGGCTCCTTTAGCCTAGCTAAGCTTTTGATAGAGTCATCGTGACGTCGCCACACGCCTACGAGCCACCGTCGCACGAGGAAGGGCCCACGGGTCCAGCTGTCACCTGGAGTTCGTTCTGCGAGACCGCCCAATACAGCACGTGGGATGCGTGGTGCGCAGGGCTTCGGGCGCGTTTTGAGCCGATCGCGGCTTCAATTTCGGCGCGTCAGAGATTGCGCACTTGGCACCAGCTCGGGTCAGTTCAAGACTATACAAGCGGTTTTCTCGCACTTTGCGAGCAGGTCGGCTACATGCACGAAGCGGAGCGGGTGGACCGTTATGTCGGAGGGCTGAAGCCGGATATCTCGCACGAAATAATGCTGCGCGGACTCTCTAATTTCAACGAGATTCTTGCGCTCGCCGAGAAGATCGACATTCTACGCCGACCGAGACCGGGGTCCTACTACGGACATCGCCCTCGGGGACCGACCGAGCACGCCACTGTACACGCCGTTGCAACGAATGCAGCTGCCGCACCGTTTAAGGGGCGCTGCTTTGCTTGCAACAGGCCGGGCCATCGCAAGAGCGAATGCCTAGAGGAGCTGAGGCGCCGAGGAGCAGAGGAGGGGAGGGAGTCTCAGAGGCAGGGAA